TTCAAGTCTTCCCTGGGCCTCCTTGATGGGGGCTGGACTCGATGATCCAGAGGGTCCCTTCCAGCTCAGCCATTCTAAGATGGTGCTGATAGCCTACACTTCCAAAAAGCTAACCATTTATTTCAGTTAACTGACCAAGGTAAGGGGTTGTTATATGTTGTTAAGAAAACGAGGAGAAGCAAGCCCCGATTTATTTAGCAGAAGGAGAGGAAGGAGAAAAGGAAGAATGAAGCAAGCAGAACACGTTAATTACAGCAATTTTCCAACATCAAATGCAAAAGTCTGGTTGTATTAATAGAGATGTGAGGGCTCATATCTCACAGCCGATTGGGTAGTGTCAGCGCACTCGAATTAACCCCTCTGCTCTCAGATTCAATAAGGCAAGAGGCCTGTCAGTTTCCACGTTGCTACCCAGCCACACGGGTCAGAGGGCACAACCCAGCGCACTGTTCGAAGGGGGCTCCTCTTAAGACCTAAAAGGCGCATATCCTAGCACAGATACTCCTGACTCTATACATTCTTTCTGAATTACAGTGGACCCTCGGCTTACAGACAGCTCCTAAAAGGCGCATATCCTAGCACAGACACGCCTGACTCTATACATGCTTTCTGAATTAGCTTGCTCTTGTTTTGGGATTGGCCTTTAGGGGGTAAACAAGGGTTCTCTTGTTTTGTGATTGGCCTTTAGGGGGTAAACAAGGGTTTCCTTTGCAAATCTCCAGGCTCGCCTGAAAGGAAAACACAATAGCAGAAAAGACGCATTCCACTTCCTGTGATATTTGATTTTCAGTACTTTTGCACAGGTAGACAGGTGGAACCTGGGTATAAAAGATTTGTGGGGTTAAAAAAAAACTCCAGCTCCCAGAATTATGTACACACACACACACACCTGTAGATACCTATATTTTGCTCACCTGGAGAAGGGCCTGTCTTTCCCACTGCATGGTGGCAGCATCCCTCATGTCCCCCCCCCAACAGGAAATCATGTGTCCAGAGGGAGATAAGCAAGAGGGACTCGATTCCTATAAGGCACAGGGTTGCACATGTTTAGCCTAGGGAAGACTGGGCGGTGACATGACAGCCCTCTTCCAACGGCAGAAGGGGTGTCACAGAGAAAGGGGGAGATGACTTTTTTCCTCTCCCAGCCCACAACAAATGGGTACAAGTTACAAGAGAAGAGATACCAACTCAACCTTAGAAAAACCGTCCGCCAGTAAGAGCTCAGCAATGCAATGGGCTACCTTGGAAGATGGTGATTTCCTTGGAGGTCTTTAAAAAGAGGTTGGATATGTTGCCGACTTTTGGATTTCTGGTAAAATTCCTTTTTTTGCTATTCAGTAGACATTTAGAGAATCAGAGAGGAGAACAGCGACAAGTGCCCTCAGAGTCTAAACTTTTCTCTTGAACTTAAAGGCTCGAACGCTCACCCCGAGACCTTTGGAAGAATAAAGAACATTTCTTTACTTACAGAGGCCTGAAATTACAGACTTGTGTAGGCTGCTTTCTTTACTGCACTCATACTGACAACCAACCAAACAGATCAACAGCAAACAAACCACAGTCACCAACAGACTAAAGAGAAGGGAAAGAAAGCTCAGCAGAGAGGCAGGGCTCTCTTTTCATTCAGAGGATAGAAGGAAGGATTGGTTAGTGCTTGCTAGATCACCAATTCAGCCCAGAAGAGTCCCCCCCCCAGTCATTCAAACCACAGGCAGCATGTAAGGCTGCAAACAAAATTCTGACAGGAGGGCTAGTTGTCAGAGATGCTTCGCTGTGGATGCCGTATACTGTACTGACATGGGGCTGAACTGCAAGGCCCCTGGCATCCTTTCTAATTCTTAAATTCTGTGATTCTGAGTATGATCCTAAGCAGAAACCACTGGAATTTTTAAGAACATGGGAATCAGCCCCTGAATGCAATTTTCTACAAGAAGACCTGTCCTGCCTTATCGAAGCCAGTATCCAGCAAAACTGACCTTCAGTACAAAGTCCACCTAAAATCAGATTTAAAAACTAAACAGTAGCCCCAAATGACAGCTCATGTGGTTCTCTCGAAGGTCTGGGGAACTCCTTGGCCTACGGACTGGATTGGTTTTGCCAAGTTCTCCCACCTGGCCGGCACCTTCTTTTGTCATTCTCTCTCTCGCTGGTGATCCAAGATAAGAAGAAGGTATTTAAAGCCAAAGATATGTGTGGGAAGCCAAGCTCTGTTTTGGAGTTCAGGAAGGGGGTGCGTGTCAGAGACCTCGTACTGGCACCCTGCTAAACCTGAGAGGTGACAGGCGGGTGGCTGGGGAAAAACCCAGTATGAATCTGGAAAAGGAGTCCTGTCCCAAGCACGGGATCCGAAGAGAGAATCAGAAGCACAGCCGAAGTCATGCAAGGTGGAGGTAAACAAGGAACAGAAGCCCTTTCAGAGAGGAGAATACCAGAAACGAGGTAGTGGGAGCACACACAGTTCACCAGCCAGCTGGATTCCACCGAAGCCAAATCTAGGTTGCAACTTGGGTCCTCTAAGCCAGTGGTCCCCAACCTTGGGCCTCCAGATGTTCTTGAACTACAACTCCCAGAAACCTTCACCACCACCTCTTCTGGCCAGGATTTCTGGGAGTTGAAATCCAAGAAGCCATGTTCAGTGGCAGTATACCTCTTAAATATCAGATCAAATAGCAGACATCATGGGATGTGTGTTCCCATCCGGCCAGTTGGGGTAGACTAGTGGTTCCCAATCTTGGGGGCTCAGATGCTGTTGATTTCAACTCCTATAAATACTAACCAATTGAACCAGGCATTCTAGGAGTTGTAGTCCAACAACATCTCTAGTCCAACACCAGAAATCCTGGCCAACAGAGTTGGTGATGAAAGCTTCTGGGAGTTGTAGTCCAAAAACATCTGGAGGCCCAAGGTTGGGGACCACTGCTCTATAGGGTCCCTTCCAGCTCTGCAGTTCTAACCTGATGAGATGATGATAAGATGATGGGGTGAAAAGGAGTACAGACTGATGGCCGATATCAGTGGATCTGGTCTGAGTTTTAGTCTGTCCTGTAAAGCAGTGGTCCCCAACCTTGGGCTTCCAGATGTTCTTGGACTTCAACTCCCAGAAATCCTGGCCAGCAGAAGTGATGGCGAAGGCTTCTGGGAGTTGTAGTCCAAGAACCTCTGGAGGCCCAAGGTTGAGGACCACTGCTCTAGAGAACCACTCCAAACAAGCGTTCAGCCCAACTTTCCCAAGCTTGATCTGCCCAAAACAGGACAGCCTCAACTTTAGCATTTTCCACCTCTAGAGATTGTTCAGGCTTGATTTGATCTCGGACCCCCTTGTTCTTTCTTCTGGCCGTCCGGGGTTTCCGCAAAGCTCTCCACCAGCACCACAGTTCAGACGGATCTGTGATTCCCCTCCCCCCCGGTCAGCTTTCTTAACTGTCCAGCTTTCACACCCATATATGATGATTAGAAATACATGAGCGTGGATGGGCTTGATCTCAACTCTTCGAACTCCTGTGTGTCTCGCAGTGGCTCCAGGATTCTGTACAAAGCCCTGTAAGATTCTGCCCTGTCTCTGGAAGAGCAGGCATCTCAGCTGAGTGACTATGATATTGATGGGAGAGGCCCTTAAGAAGGCAGAGAACCCTAACAGAACAGTAACACGCACGTCGAAGCTTGGGAATCTGGGTGTTCAAGGACCAGAACTGCTGAAATCCTAGCCACTGGCTGTGGTCGCGAGAGCTTTTGGGAGCTCCAGTCTGAGAACGTCTGAGGTCTCAAGTGTAGGAATTACTGAGCTAAGACATCGCTGTACTGCTTCTCAGAGATCTTCTTTAGCTACGAGGATTACTATATTTAAGGCACCGGAATGGCTGATGCCATCTTTCTTGCAGGGAGAACCGGAACAAACGGGAAATTCCAGGGATGGGAACTGGAGTCTCCGGACTCGCTGTCAGGTCGGACTCTGACTCGGAATGCACGCACCCACTCCCTTTTTTTTTCTGGGGGAAAGAAAGCCTTGCTTTTAATAGGGACTCGTAATTTGGTACCGAAGACCGGCCAACATCCCTGGGAAGTTTATTGTGCTTTCCGAAGGAGAAAGGACACCACCTTTTTGAGAAACGCACCATACCTTGTGGGTTGTATTACAACTCCCATCATTCCCATCCATCAAGCAACTACTTGAGCAAGGCTGAAAAAAGGAGAAAACGTCAAGATAAGAAGAGGGTGTGGGTGTGCGTGCACACGTAGGGTGTGTGTAGGTGTAGAAAAGAAAGCAACAAGGTTTGGGAGGATGGGCATGGGGGACACCTGACATGTCCAGCTGCAAAGGAAGGTAAGCCCCTAAAGTATTCCCAGATTAATCTAGATGCCTTGGGAACTTTGCACTTGCTCAGAGACACTCTTTTCTAGATTCCTGCTCCAAAAGCTTGCATCGTCTTAAGCCTTTCTGAAAATTATATAAAACCCAGAAGGCGCTTTTCAGGGCTTAGGTACCAACAGTGGAACAGAAACGTAACAGCAACAGGTTGAATCTTCGCAGTAGGAGAGAATGCCTTGGCAAGACCCGCGTTCTCCTCTCGGCCACGGCGATCCGCACGTCCTCCGCGCTTCAGAGGTGCAGCACAGCTGTTTTTAACAGCAGCCGGAACGCGATGACCCACCGGGGCTCGCCAAACCGCGGGGCTGGGTCAGACCTCCATTGCCCCAACTTCCTCGCAGGAGCAGACCCGGGTCCGCCTCTGCGTAACGTGTGAAGCCCCACCAGGGTCTCCCGTCCCCCTTCCCCGACAAAAGAGGCAGTTCAGAAGGAACCCCAAGTCTCCCTCCGAGCCCCCACGGCCCCGGATCGCCCCGGCCTGAGGTTTGCGCCCTGGGCGCACGGCGCGCCTCGCAGCTGCTGGAGAGGAACCCGGAGCCCGGGAGTGGGTGGAAAGGGACCATCCCTGGGGCCCAACCTCAGCAGAGGCGCTCTCAGTCCCCGCCAGCCTTCCCCCCCCCGGCTTCCTCCTTACTTCCAGCTCCGGGGGGGGGGATCCGGACTCGTCCGCCGGAGGCTTCTCACCACCGCCCGGCCACCGCCGCCGCAGGCATGCCCGGAAGCTCCGAGGGAGGCGCGCCCAGCTCTCCGCGGTTCAGAGGAGCCCTCGAGCGGAGCTCATCGCCGCCGTCTCGCCCCGATCCGCCGTTCCTCCGGGGCTACTCCGGAGGGCTCCTGCCTCGCTCCTTGGCGCCGGGCAAAGTCCCGGAGAAGTGCCGGGGAGAGCCGCCCGTTGCGCGCCCGGTGCCAGCAACCGCGCGGAGACTTCCGCCTCTCCAAGCGCGCTCCACGGCTGGGCGGCCTCTGGCTCCGCGCGAGCGAGGAGACGAGGGCGCAGCGCAAGCGAGGAACCGCCCGGAAAAAAGGCGAGGCTGCCGACCCGCTTCCCCCGTCCCGCCCCTCGGCTTCTCTCCCTTCCTCCCTCCCCTCCCGGCCGACACTTTCGCTTCGGTGCGCCTCCGGGTCCCCCCTCTCCATCGCCGCCCAGGGAGCGCTGTGCCAGGCGCCGCGTTTGCTCCGAAGTAAGGCCCACCCCGGATTCCCGGGGGGGAAAACGGTGGAGTAAGAGCCACGCGTTAAAAGTAAGCCTCGAGATACCCCGGAGTAACCCTAGTCAGAGGAGGAGGAGGAACGGAAAAAGAGGCAAGAACTTGAAACTGGTCCGGAAACTGCACGTTAGGTATTGCCCTGCGATGTATTCTCGGTTCTACTGTATGGTGTAGAACCTCGCGATTCAGTACAGGCTATCTTGGGCTCATGCCGGATGCTAAGAAATGTCTGGGACCCAATGAGACCAGCAGAAACACCGACAAATAACGGAAACTGTATGAGACTCAGCCACTGGAAAAGGTACAGCTGCTCCCTGCTCGCAGAAGGAGTTGAGGAGTGGTTGAGGTGCAGGCCGATCAAGAAATACTGAAGCAAATGAATAAAGATCAAGAAACCACCAAACACATTCAGTGCAGAAAACTAGAATTCTTCTGTCACAGAAGGAGAAATGAGAAGTCCGGGTCATTGCATCTGATCATTCAAGGGAAGATAAACAGGGAAATACTTGCAGGAAGAGTTAGAACTTCTTAGCTAATTATCCCCGGAGACTGGATGAATGGGAAACAACCCCTCTGTTTAGAAGGGCTGCATCCGCTCTCAGACAGCCATGGGGACGTCCATTATCCGGGAGCACAGGAAGGAGAAGAAGTCCAGAAAATAAACTTTTTTCAGGCTCCAACCAGCCTCTCGGACTCTTCCCTTAGTCCAACTCTTTGAATAAATTCAGAGGCATAGAGTTTGAGAAGGTAGAGGCACCAGGAGGTCGTTCGGTGTGGATTTTTAAAACCTGGCACTTCACCAGACCCTTTAAGTCAAGGACAGGGAACTTTGGCCATCGAGATGTTTCAGCATTTAGTTCCCATTGGTTCCCCAGCATGGCCAATGGTAGGGAATTCCCCAAAGTAAAGCTGTTAATATTTAGAAGATCCTGTTCATCAGGCAGTTCAGTCAGGGTGGAGGCAGAAATAGTGGCCCAGTGTTCCTTGCTATTGCATGTGAAACCAACATGTTATGGGTTAGATCCCATCAGGGGTGGGCCGCTGTGAGCCTCGCAAGCGTGTTACCTGCAATGACCATCAGCCTTAGCAAACATAACATGTACGGAGGAAGAAGCTTCAGACCCCTCAACCCAAGCAATGCTTGATCCTGTCAATAGAAAAGATAAGAGACAGACATCCACCCGGCCGCAGATGCCAAGAATCCTCCTCTTTCGTTTTTTATTAGTAAATTGCCAGTGGAAAATAGACTGTGGGAAAGCGCCCCCATATGGCAAAAGCTTGTATTTCCTGTGTTGGAGCTAAACGCAATATTCAGTGGTTCCGTCGAGCTTGAAATGCGAGAAATGAGTCGTTAGCAGAGTTTCAAAAAGTGACTTTCTTGGATGACAGCCACCATAATCCCCCAGCCGGCCTGACCATTGCAGGATGCTGGGAATTTCAGTTCAGAAAAGTAACTTTTCCAGAGGGGCTGCTCCTGATGCTACAGATCCCAAGTTATTCCTGCTAAGCAGACTCTATATTGCACTCTTTAGTTGCGTTTTGAGAGCACATGACCTGCCATCATACAGGATTCCATAGGACGAAGGCAAGTCCTTTAAACAGCTGTCAAGAATGGTTGTAAGTGTGTAATGGTTGTAACCATTGGGCAGTCCCTTTCCTGTTTACTCAACAGGCGGATGTTTATTCCCGTTTGCTCATTTGGATTGCAAACCAGCAGAGATCGGAGGCCTCCGTGGAGGATGTTCTGTCCTTCAAAGAATCGGTGGCCTCTGTTCTTCCCAGTCTGCCAGAATTTGCCTATCCACGCCTGTATTTCTTCACACTCATTGGGTCCACATGGGAACTTCCTGGTCCACCCATTTGATTGAAATGGCATTTATAGGCTCGCCCAGGTTTGGGTGTGTCAATGCCACAATACACACCGAATTACACTTTGCCACGTCTTGTCTGTACACATTCCTCCAGCCGGGTTAAAGAATGACAATGGAAAACAGGAATTTACCTGCCCAAATTAAGAAAACAAAACAGAACAAAATTGCTCTGTGTGTTTTCCAGTATTTTGAGTCTTCCAGCTTGTCATGGACACACTGTTCCTTCTCTGTTCCACCAGGACTACACGCTCCGTTTGCTAATAACTGAAGAGAGGATTTAGCCAAAGGGAAGCCAATTGAAACTACTTCTGTACAATATATCCCACCCAAGGCCATGCATATATATATGCATGGCCTTGGGTGGGATATACGTATTACACAGAAGTAGGTTCAATTGGATCCACTTTGATTTACTCCTGAGAAAATAGTGTTGAAGTCTTTCAAATGCTTCCCTTTGGTTAAATCCTCTCCTTGATTTATATCTATGCATGGCCTTGGATGAGATGGGAAAGGCCAAACTACACATTACACATCAGTAGTCACTAGAAGGGGAGACTCCCAGGGCTTGGGGGATGTTAATTTTCTAGACTACAACTTCCATAATACCCTAACTAGCCATTTTACTCCCATCACAACCCTTGGAAGTAGAGTAGGTTAAGAGTTAATTGATTGGTCAATGCAGGGAGCTGCATGGTTGACATGAAATTTGATCAGAGGTCTCCCCACTTCCCAGAGACCGAAGAGGAACAGCCTGGGACCTCCCAGCTATTGGACTTCCGTATCACTTGCAGATGAGGCAGATGTGACATGCCATCCAGAGACATCTGGACAGATGCATTTTTCCGACTGCTACCCAAAGCCATTGCACGACTCTGGCAAATGCAATTCCAGCTGGTAAGTCTCCATTTTATAGGCATGCACGCTATACTATCGTGTGTGTGCATGCATATAAAACATCATAAACAAAGATACACATTTTGGCAAACTATCGATAAGACATTCTGCTTGGGGTCACTTTACTGTTTCAGAGGCCTGGGTTCAGCAGTATCTGGGAAATGAGATGTGCAAATGAAAGCCTATGTTTACATCCAGAAGACCTATTGCAAAACAAAGCAAGCAAATTGGTAAACAACAGGGGTTGTCGAGAGCTCCTGCAATGACAGCTAAATGTCACCTCAAGATAGGAGAGCACTTTTCAAAGACTTCAAAGGTCCTACAGAGGAGGGACAGGACCTGTTCTCTGGTAAACTGCAGGGGTTGTGGAGATCTCCTGCAATGACAGCTAAATATCACCTCAAGATAGGACAGCACTTTTCAAAGACTTCAAAGGTCGTCCTACAGAGGAGGGACAGGACCTGCTCTTGATTATCCCGGAGTGCTGGACACCTCATAGTGGGTTCAAGTTATAGTAGGAAGTCAGATTTTAGGCTGAATATCAGAAAAAACTTCTTAACTGCTAGAGCAATATGACAGTGGAACTCACGACCTCAGAGGGAGGTGGTGAGCGCTCCAGCGCTGGAGGCCTTCTAGAGAAAATGGGACCGCTCTCTGTCAGATAGATTTGATTTAGGTTCCTGCCTTGAGCGGGGGGGGGGGTTTGGACTCGATGGCCTTTGAGGCCCCCCTTCCAAATCTTATTATTCTAGGAAGCCCCTCCCTAATTACACATGCCTTGTGTAATGCACAACTTGGCCCTTAAGGAATCCGAATTCGGCTCCCGCTTCCCGCTCCACGTTAGATAACCTGCAGAGGGTGGATCATGTCAGAACAACAACGAGTCCAGTCAAAGCTTTTGGACGAGATGCAAAGTGAAGTCAGGCTGCTGGAAAGGTTAAAACCACACGGAGAAAAACTAATTGGATTTGACTGGGCGATCTGAGAAAAGCTTGCGTATTGGCTTCTGCTCTGATTCATGCTAACTCTTGAGTTTATGTAGCAGCTTGGCAATAATAAGCATGACCTTGGAAAAGTTCTTTTTGTTTGTTTGGACGAGCATTTCCGGAATTCCACAGCAATTGGTGGCTGGCAACTGCAGGAGAAGGTGGGCTAGAAAGCCACATTGGCAAGACTCAGTTATGTCTCCTCACGAATTTCTGCACTGAAATGGAATCCGGGGGACTAGAATCAGAGAATGATTGAGTTGGAAGGGGGCCCTCTAAGGCCATTGAGTCCAACCCCCTCCTCAAGGCAGGGATTCAAATCAAAGTCTATCTGGCAGAGGGTGGCCCCATTGTCTCTCGATTTCCTCCAGCGCTGGAGCGCTGACCACCTCCCTCCGAGGTCATGGGTTCAATCATCGTACGGCTCTAACAGTGAAGAAATTTCTCCTGATATTCAGCCTAAATCTGACTTCCTGTCGCTTGAGCCCAATGATTTCGTGTCCAGCCAGCTTGGAAGGAAACAGGCCGCACAGTGGCAAGTCTGATTGTTCAGGTTTGTACCTCTGCAAAAATCGCCAAATGCACAGCAAACTCGGAGAAGACCGATTTCCCTTAAACCAAGAAACAAATCTTCCTAATTCCACAAACAGATATAGACACCCTAGACAGTTCAACGAAAGTCTGCTAGGAGATGACAGGCTACCACCAAGAGGCTTTAAAGGGACTTACATTTGACTGCATTATCGATTTCTTAATTAGCAGCGATGAACACAACTCAGTGGACGGGAGGGCCTTGGGTCCTGATTTCCAGGAACTTTAATGACAGTGATTTTACTTTTATCTCACCCTCCTGCTGCTACTCCCCCCCCCATCTCTCTTAAAATTCTGTTCCAGTCACATCAGGCAGATTAGAACAATGACATTTCTTTTAAAGAAAATTTCTCCTTATGCTGGGCTCCAGCTCCCACAAACGCCACAGCCTTAGGGGTACTGTAGTCCAACAGAGGCTTAGGGGTATTGTAGTCCAACACATTGGAAAGG